ACAGTCGTTCCGATATCTCTCCTGCAGTGACACGGATGAGGTGAAATAGCTTTCCAAAGTTCGCTGCAACGGTTGGAGTCCCGTGCTGTCTGCAATCGTCTCCCGGCATTGTTTACGGTTTTTCTTGACGGAGCGTATATCTTGGCGACATAAAATAGTGAATTCAAGAGAATTAATCAGCCGCGCCTCTTTTGCATTCGGACAATTGCGGTGTACACTCGGAGCTCCAGTCTCTTTTGTGTCAAAGTGTTAACTAACTACCCCAGTGCCGCTTCTCTGATGGACTTTTTCAACGTCGACAGTTGAATCGTCGTGAGAATTTGCGGCTATGTTGGTATCGGTTGCCTTCAGCATCGCCTGCTCTTTCTCAGGTAGTTCCGAGAGAGCGACGTTGAATTTGTCCGGGAGACGGATCTTCCGTCGAGCAGTCAGGTGGATACTGGAACGGGTGCGTTCCTGTTTCCAGTTTCTGCGCCGAGTTAGAAACGAGTGATCTACTGCAGAGGCCCAGTGAGCACGCACCAAAATGTTATCAACCATGCTGTGCCATTCTAATGTCATTCGGGTACCACGTGATTAGTTGTTTTTTGGTGTGCTGGTCACGACCAACCGGTTAAGGTCAGAAAATGTGGCTAGGCTTTCGCCATTCTCGCAACGTTGACCAAGACCGAACTTTCCCAGAACATGCCGAATATGCTCGTCTGATGGACCGTGCATTCTTGCAACAAGGAGAATATCGCGTCTCAGTCTGCGGTTCATTGCGTCTTGAATTTCATTATAGAAGTCGTTTTTGTTGAGCGTTTCCGCATGTAACGTTGGAGCTTTGACAGTGATAACAGTGATGTTAAACTACTTACCTCTGAAGCGTGCCATGGTGAGATTGGCACCCAGGAGATCATGATGCGGCGATTGGTACTCCGTGCAAACCGAAGTTCTCAGTTGGACCATTGTGGTATAACCGATAGATTGCGTCCTTATGTGGTAAGTTTGGGATGGTAGCGCAGTGGTTTAGTCGCCGGCGTGCTTTGAGCCCTATGAATCGAGGTTCGAGCCCTGTCACCACCACCCAACTTTGGTGGTAGACAGGTTTGCTGTCGCCCGGTTCTATCACGCCTAGACTTCCGGGGCCTTATATGGTTCGCCACTTCAAGCCCCGGGGCATAGGTTGCCGGTTACCAAAGTTGAACTGCAGGTCTTCGTGACTATGGGGTTCGCCCCAACTGCTGTTCATCACACGCTGATGTGTAATTAAAAAAAGCATTCCGGCAAGCTACGTGGATGCTGGATCTGGAGTATAGATAGTTCAGGTTTCCAGCTTTCTCATTTTTCACCCGAATCACTGGGAGAACGCAGGGAGAGTCGCTTCATGGGAGCGCCGTAGCATGAACGCCATGTAACATTGCAAGACGATCCGTTAAAAATGAGGTACTAAGTGACGTCCCCAGTCTTTCTCCCAGAATTCTCTTTTCTATATTATCGCATCTGATAGTTACATATATAGTGCGTCGTGCTTCACCTATTTAAAACGTGTCCAGCTACATCTTAACCGGCAGGAGTAGCACAAAATGCGATGAACGTTTGCGTCTCCTGGTAAGACTCTCACTTCAAGTTCGCCGCTGATGCCGATTTTGAGCCGCGTTTGCTAGCGTCTCAAGACAGCCTTCAGTCCTTCAGCCTAGAAGCGACTGGAGTAATACTATTGCCAGTTAACACAGTTTGTTCATCTCTGGGACCCAGATCATTCTTTCTCTACCTTATTGTCAATTCCAGCTTGTGTCGGCCAGTGTAGCCACATTCGGTATGCGTTTTGCACCTTCAAAGTGTAAAATGTTACTACAAGACTGGGTTGGCCCAGCACCCAGCTTCACTCCAACTGAGAAAGTAATAGAGCAGGTGGATAAATTTTGTTATTTGGGCAGCTACATCTCACCTGGTGGACGCATCACGGATGAAGTGTCAGCTCGCATACAGAAGGCTCGACTGGCATTTGCCAACTTGAGACATCTGTGGCGCCGTCGCGACATCCGGCTGTCTGTGAAGGGTCGAGGGTATGCCGCGACAGTTCGGCCAGTCCTGCTATACGGTGAAGAAACTTGGCAATTAACAAGATAAGGACAGACTGTCGGTGTTCGAACACCGCTCTCTACGCAGCATTGCACGAATCTGGTGGGGTAGCCGGATAAGCAATGCTGAGGTTAGGGACAGAGTTTTGGGTAAATACGGTCGCCCACTGGAGCAAGTGGTCGACCTCCATAGATTACGTTGGCTGGGACATGTGCTACGCATGTCACCAGGTAGGTTACCACGGCGAGCGATGTTCGCCGAAGCAGATACCGAGTGGAAAAAAGCCGAGGGCGGTCAAGCTAAGACCTGGCATGAAGGTATGAAAATCCCGACCAGGAAACTGGATTACATAGGGTGTCGTAAACAGTGGCGTTCGTGCATCTCCTCAATTTCTTTGCAACCTTAGACCACTGAACTTCTCCGTTTTCCTTTCGAATCCACTTTCAACTTTCCTTTCTCGTATTCTTCATCCAAATGGGTGGCCAAAAGACAGCAACCAAAACCGGCGCTCGAATATACGTGGTAATGGTTGTTCAAACTGAAACTGAAACAGTAAAAGGGCTGAATGTCATAGTAATATATGTAAGGTCTTATAATAAAAAACTGTCTACCTAGTTCTGAGTGAATAAAGTCTAAAAAGATTTCAAAGCTATCTCTAACCCCATATATCGTTAACCTCCATGTAACGACTGTGCCCACTCGTTATTTTTCTAACACCGCTATATATGTATTCCCCATCTTCTGCTTAAATTTGCTTCGACATTCCAATCTTCATTTCGCTCTTTTATCCAAATGGGCAACCAAAACCGGTCGCACGAGAGTGCATGGTTAATGGTTGTAAAAACTGAACTGAACTGAACTGTGTCGGCTTATTCAAATGTAGCACTAAGAGACGGTCGTCTTAGCTTCATGCACAACACGTTTCCAATCTATTGGAACCTTTTAAATTAGATGGCACTCAGAGCTCCGTTAAGACTGCCTGGAATGAAGATTCCTCGACGAATCTCGTCGTTGATGATTCCCTGCAGCCATTGTTTCCTTATGATGAGACCAAGACAAAGTTGTTCAAAGACCGGTGCTTCCGGAGAACAGTCGAACGATGCGACCTCTGTAAAGCTGAATGTTTGTCTCGTCTTGACCGGTAGCAAAACATTTTAACCTCCCCCTATATATTCTTCTAGTGATTTGTTAAGTGAACTATACGATGTACATCCACCATATATCGGGCAACACCAAAGCTCATTCAATATGTTAGCGTTTGGTAGGTTTTGTAATTAATCGTCATCGATCGGATCCCCGCCAGCAGCCATTTATGTGCAATGCGGCTCCAAGGGTCAATTAAAGCAACATCAAAGGATTTTTGTTCCTAGTCGCAACATATGCACCGATCAACTGCAGTACTGATGCACAAAAAGACGATCTCTCCCAAGAGCTCCGTGAACGCATTCGGTTCAACCGAAGCTTCAAAATAATTGTGTTGAATTGTGATTTTAACGCACACGTTGGAAAACTCAGCGCATCGGAACCTTGTCTATGCCACCGCTGCACTACCAACAAACGGATATGGGCGACGGTCTACTTCGGTTGTGACTCATTCCGTAACGCTTTCTCCAGCCATGGTTGAAACATTTCTGGGCACTATTCACCTGGCTTCCATCAACACCAGACTTGTCATCTCCTTCTTTAAATTTACAACAGCCATCAGTTATCACTTACTTCTGAACTGAAGGGTACTCGGGAAATAAGTCATCTCAAAAGGCCTCTCAACCTATTGCGTTGTCCCCATCGGCTTTCAAGAATAGAGGTTCAGTCTTGGTCTTGGAGTTACCAAAGCTCCTGAGTTCAGTATTGTGGAGTGAACTAGTTTCAACTAGGCTTTGAATCGATTATAGTACCGATTTACACGAAAGGCAACAGAGCCTCTTGATAAATCCACAGAGCAATAGCTTCCTCTTTAAACTCCTCCCTGGCAGTGTTGGTCGTCGAATGTCAGCCGCACATGAACGGTTCACACATAAGAACCAGGCTAGTTTCAGACCTAGTCGAGGTTGCATCGACCAACTTCATCACCAAATTCTGGAATAGACATCCCTTTCGTAGACCCATCATTTCTATCTTTCTCGATCTGAAGGCGGCTCTTGATTCAGTCGACCGTTCTATGCTCTGGCGCTACCTCTCTTTGAAGGATGTGCGAGAGAAGTGTATTTGAACATTATGTTTTATTTATACTAACAGCTGAAACCACGTTTGAGCTGACATCTCTTTCACCAGAGTTCACCTCGGCGTGGGAATGCTTCCGGATAAAATTTTTTTGATCGAAAGCATGTAGACGAAATCGTACTTCTGAGTGAAAATTCACGTTCAAAGCTATTCTGAGTTGTTTCTGTGCCAGTGTAGCCACGTCCGGTATAGGTTTAGCACTTTCAACGTGTGAAACGTAACCAGAATATGCTGGCAACAGCGAACCACCAGCGGTGAGGTTCGCCGAAGAAGCTTCGCCTCCGACAATCTTAGTCGTCTTCTGAGTGCCGTCATCTCGCTCTAGCAATTTTGGTGACTGGGACATATGTTGCCGATGCCGGCTCAAAGACTGCCCCATCGTGTTTTATTTGTGCCAGCCGACACTAGCTATAAGGGGTGACAAGATGGACAACGAATAACCTGGGCATGAACCCCAAAAGTGACAGTTCTAGGTCCCTCTAGGCTTTTAGGTTGGGTCCCAGGGACAGCGAACATCTTTAACGTGCGACATTGGCCGACGTGGTTAGTAACCGGTGTCAACGGTGCATCTGTTGCAATACTCTTATTCGTTGATTTGTATTTTCACATCCCTTTCGTCACATAACTCTTGCTGGGATCATACTCCGTCGATTGTCTGCAGCCCGTGAAGAGTGCACACGTGAGAACCAGGCTGGCTTTAGACCTGGTCGAGGTTGTATCGATCACATCCTTACTCTTCGTCAAATCCTAGAACACAGACACTCCTTTCAT